GAAAGAATATCCCGTACCAGACCCTTTGAACATGTTGGATTGGATTACTTTGGGCCATTCAACATAAGAGTGCGCAGCCAAATTGAAAAGAGATGGATTGCATTGTTTACATGTTTCAGCACAAGAGCAATCCATTTGGAGATTGTTACAGATCTCACGGCAGAAACTTGTCTGCATGTATTTCGACGGTTTGTAAGCCGCAAAGGCTTCCCAAAATCCGTATACAGCGATCATGGTTCTCATTTAACAGTTGTTGCTCGTACTTTACAGGCGGCACTCTGGGAAGCAAGCAATTCCGAAAAAATCAAGAATTTTCTTCAAAATAAGGAGTGCAATTGGAGCTTTACTACTCCCCATGCGCCATGGAAAGGCGGACTGTATGAAAGGATGATTGGTCTAGTGAAAGAAGCGTTAAGACAAACCATTGGACGTAAACTTCTTACAGAGCAAAATTTCAGTACTTTGTGCCTGGAAGTAGAAGCTGTGGTGAACAGTAGACCGCTCACCTATATAGACGAGGACCCTCAGTTAATTTTACGACCCGTTGACTTTTTGATTCCACATGCGCAAGTGTCGGTGCCACTCCCCGTCGACAATTCCTGTGAATTGGAGGATCCATCATACAGCGGAAGTGATAATGATTCATACGTTAAATTGATTTCTCTATGGCATAAAACAGCGGCACTGGTGGATACCTTCTGGGATTTGTGGCATCGTCGCTATTTAAACGAACTGAGGGAACGTGAAAAGCGTATGCATAACGGACCTCGTTTACGTGTTCAGCGTCAGCCAAAGAAAGGCGAAGTGGTCTTGGTGGAACAAGAAGGAACTACACGTAGCTGTTGGCCAATGGGCCGCATACAAGAAGTCCACGGCACCGAGGAGAATATCCGTACGGCCACTGTGATCATGGCAAATGGTCGTACTTTGCAAAGACCGATCAGCGCATTATATCCTTTGGAAATATCTACCGAAGCAGCTAAAAGAGCGGACCCCAATCTTGAAGAAGAGGAACTTGAACAATATGTCCATGGCAACAGTCTTGTGGAGTGGGGGAGAGGGCGCAGTACAGATAGCGCCCAAAGTAAACGATTCAAGCTCCCATTTCTTACTCTCTGATCTAAGATTCAATAGTAACTGGACACTTTTCAGAGTAGTTGTTCTTATGAAATTTGCATATGTGATAGCTTATGTGCTT